AGTGTACTTAAAATAGTATACAGATATGATAAAGAGCACAGGTGGCAATGGCCCTGCTCCTGGCACAATCTCATCTTCCTGCACATTGACAGTAGCTCACTGATCCAATCTCGGAAGTGATATAGCTCTTTTTATCATATCTCAAAGCACTTTACAAAGGGAACTCAGTATCATGTTACAGATGGGGAAATTGAGGCACAGACAGGGAAGGTGAGTTACCCAAGATCATGCTGCAGACCAGTGAAAGAGCTGGGAATAGAACTCCCCTCTCCTGAGCCCCCATCTGGTTCTCTAAGCACTAAATAATACCGCCTCCTAGTGGGTTACATGATTGCTAGACATCAGTAACATATTGGAGATCAGCTTCCATTCCTGGCTCTGTGCTTCAATTATTCTGTCTCAAAGAACTAAACCATGCACTCCTTTCCCAATCAAGAATGAAAAGCAGTGTGTTTATGGTTTAGGTTTACCATATTAGAGGAGCAGCTCAGAATCTTACCCCAGGTCTCTAATTCAGCACAGAACTCACAACCCAAAGACAGCAGGGATTTAAAGGAAATTTATAAAACCCTTTTGGGTCCTCCCAATCCTGGGCTGCTCCAGGGACTGTAGTACCTTCTTATGTAATTTATATCACCCTGGGGGCCTGTGTACATCACAGTAGCCTCTTCAAGCTGTTCTGTAGGCTGCAGTGCTGGAATCTCCTCAGTGCTTTGTGTGGCAGAGCCCCCCTGGACAAGCTTGCTCCCAGCACTCTTACACATGGCTTGCGTGGGAGGCCTTGGAGGGAAGCCTTATAGCTGCCTTCCACAGTGCCTGTCCTGGTGGAATCCTCCCCTGTTGGAACTGGGGCTTTGCCACTTCTTTTACCTAGTATAAAGGGGCTCTCAGTTCTGGATGCTACTCCCAACTGTACCTCCAGTAGCCTGTGTTAGCTTATTTGTAAAATAGGCCCTATTATACTAGCATTATAGGGCTGGTGTTTATGGCCTTGGTTAATAATTAAGGTGAGGAAGTGCATGAAAATATGAAAAGCAATCAGGAGCAGTGAGATATTAACTCAGGGTCCTGGCTGACAATTCATGGAACTTTCTGCAGGGATATTTGGTGAGAGTCTCTTTCTTCTTACTTTTCCAGAGTCGGTGTCTCCCAGTGGACTTGTTATATCATTGCTGCCAAATACAGCAAGCTTTTCTTGGAACGTTTCAGTTTCTAGAGGAAAAAATGACAAATCATGAGACAGACAAAATACTTCCTATATATAAGTAATAATATATTAATAAGCACATAAGGAGCAACATATGGAACAAACTGTGTTTTAGATTTATTGCAAAAGGTGATAAAAGGCGAGACAGTCCAATGTTTCCAAACGTCTAAAATTAACAACTCATTATTCTCTTTGTATAACTCAATTTTCATCAAACTATCATAAAATCGTGAAATACTACTCAAAGCATAGAAAGTGTTAAGAAAATCTCAGGATAGTCACAGCTATTTCTCCAGATCTAAAATGGAAATATCCATCACTGTAAGGTGCTTTGAGTTCCTCTCTTAATAGATGCGAAAAAAGACTACAAAGTATTATTTATCAAAAAGCTGTGAAAAATGTCATTCACAGGCATGACATCCCAATGATGAATTATAAGTATATGTGGATTTTGTATCAGAAAAAGTAAACTATTGGGTTTTATAGAGAAGACTCACTCTGAATGATTTCTTGTGGAGAAAAAATAATTGACACTTGCAATCTTTAGCTGGTTAGAACTCCTTGGTTAAAAAATAAAAAAGAAATTCTATTAGTTTGTATTGTTCACAGGCTTGTTTTATAATATGTACACTATAAATTACAAGGAAGTACATGAAGGGGCTCGGTAATGTCCTTATCCAGATGACCTGTGCTCCTGTGATTTATTATGTCGCCAGAACCCTGGTAATCTATTGCTGTCGGTCTCTTATTTATCTGTTTATTGGGCTATCAAATGCTCCCATTCCATTAACTGCTTGTTCTTCACTGAAAAAAAGCTTAATACATTTATCATCACTCTAGGCCTCCCTTTTCTGCAACTCCCAGCTGCCCCCTGTCTACCAGTAGTAGTATTCCTAGTCTGAGGTCAAGCCTTGCAGGATCATTACCATCTGTATAGGAATAAAAATGTGCCCTCTATGCCAAGGGGTTTCTTGCCTCTGTTGTAATTTCCACAAAGTCCCAGTCAGCAGACCTGCTCCCGGCTGTAGGTGGTTTTATAAGTGTTTGCTGCCTCCAAAGATGATATAAGGATTTCTTATAAAGATTTTTCATTATATTTTGCTGGATTGATTGGATTCAGAGTGATCTCCGAGTTGTCAGAGGGACAGAGGTGCAAAACACAGGATCGTCCCTATTTCCTCACTGGGGTGCTGGAGATGCTATAAGTATTTCCTTCAGGGAGAACAATACATCTGCAATACACCCCACTGTGTTCTTCAGTCTACACTGGCTCCCAGTTCATTTGTAGGTGCAATTTAAGGTGTTGGGTTTTAACCTCACACAGGTTAGGTCCTGGTTAAATTGGAGAACACCTCAATCCTGCAACTACACTGCAGTAGTTGAGATGTTCCGAGGCTCTTGAGACAAAAAGCTCCTATGATTAGGGGGTTGGTGACAAGGTGTTTTGATCTCAAAAATATTCTCAATCTGTTTCCATTTTTGGTCAGCCTTAGGAATCATGTGTGTTTGTGTGTCTACATGAGACAGCTTCTGTTCTAAGTATCTGATAGTGTTGTACAAAGGTTGTAGAGAGTTGACGTTGTCAAGCCTTGAGTGAATTAAAGAGTTCGCCTCAACTGAGTGCCAATAAGCACTTTATGCCACACTAAATCATCGTGAATTCTCTGTATCATATTTTACAGAGGACTATTTTAGATTTTTTTTAAATGATTGGAACTATTTTTGTATCCCTCCACTGAAGATCTTAGTTACCATAAACTCAGTCATGTAGGGTCCAAAAGGCTAGAAATAACATCTAAAATAGTCAAAATAATTTTGCTAGACATTAAAAATTAGACTTTAAAGTTGTGCTACAGCTAAAATATGTCAGGCCAGTAGCAAGTACTGTGTATCCTTTTGGGAATCACCGAATGGGCATCACCCCTTTTCCAGGAGCATAAGGTCCCTATTTCTAGTCCTTCGGGGTCACAAATGATCAGCCCTTAAATCTGTTCCTAGTGCAGGACTCAAATCCCCCATTTTAGAAAGTGTGTGGGGAGGGGTAGCATTTGGGGGAGGGGAGAGAAATGTTGCTGATAAAGACAAGAAAGGTGGCTATTAGAAACTGCTCAGAGATTTTGAATGTTAGTAGTCATGGAGGAGGTGGCTAGCGGGCAGAGGACAGGTAAGATGATAAAAGGGTGCATTTTAAATTGCTTTTAATGTATGAATATTGTCACCATATGATGTGCGCGTGTGTATGCGCGTACAAAAAGCACAGTAGTAGCTATACATCATTTAAAACATGATTTTTTTTACCAACACATTTCAATCTCAGCTTTGTTTTTTTGGGCGACACTCTGTCATAGTTGCTGGTATTTGTACAGCTGCCTTCTATCCTCCAGATCTGCTGAATAAGGGTCTGATTATTTTCAAACAACTTTTGCAATTATCCTTGAAGAAGGAAATTGCTACTTTATGTACAGTACTTTATGTACATCTGTGATTATAACTGTTCCTTTTTTATACTATTACCGTGTGGGCTTTAATTTGGCAAGCTTTTGTAGCTAGTGCTTCAGGAGCACCCTCTATATGCTCTGAAGAACAAAGAACAAATTTCAAAAAGCAATAGGACAATCCAAGCATGTTTAGCTCTTACCCAGTTTAAAGGTCTTGCTCTCTGGTAACTCTGTTCAGCTGTTTTCTTTTAACTGTACATTGGTGCATAATAGCCTCAAAAATAAGAAAAAAAAATTTCCCCCCTAGAATCTATATTCCCCCATATCCTTTTCCATTTGGCAAATAATGGATTTCTATAGATACAGGCCAGTCACCAGATTTGGATTCTGAGCACTTTGAAGGTACATGATATTTAAATCAAAGTCTGGGGGGATGGACCCATTTTGACTAGAAAATAGATGGCGCGAGGAAGAAAAGGAGAGAAATAAGTACTGCACAGTCCTTTATTAGGAAAATAAACCATTTCTGAGCACAGTTTTTAGAAGAAAAATGCATAGAAAGTGCGTAAGGGTGTATATTTCTCTCAATAAAGCATTATAACAAAGAGCCATTAGATTCCCCTGTTTAGATTCCCAAATGAGGTGGACTGGTTCAAACAATACAGTTGAAGGAAATTAGCATCACACACAAGGAGAGGTAAGACAGCGCTGTATATTATGAGTGTTAAAACAGTGCCATATAATTGCAGGTTTTACCTGTCAGAGGCTATCATAATAGCCTACCTTTATGGAGTGAAGTGCCTTTCAACAAGATTCTCAAAGTGCTTAACATTAATTAAGCGCCATAAAACCTGTGGCAGGTACTGGTCTTACAGATGGGCAAATGCAGATACTGAGAGCTTAACAGACTAGCTGAAGATCATACAGTGAGTCAATGTGAGAGCTGTGGCTAGAACCAAGGCGATTCTGACTCCTAGTACCCCACTAAAACTGGTCCACATTGCCCCCTTTTTAAGGGGGTTGTCAAGGTTCCTTCCCCACTCTGAACTCTAGGGTACAGATGTGGGGACCTTCATGAAAACCCCCTAAGCTTATTTTTACTAGCTTAGGTTAAAACTTCCCCAAGGTACAAACCATTTTCCTTTTTCCCTTGGACTTTATTGCTGCCACCACCAAGCGTCTAACAGATATATAACCGGGAAAGAGCCCGCTGGGAAATGTCTTTCCCCCCAAAATCCTCCCCAAACCCTACACCCCCTTTCCTGGGGAAGGCTTGATAAAAATCCTTACCAATTTGCATAGGTGAACACAGACCCAAACCCTTGGATCTGAAGAACAATGAAAAAGCAATCAGGTTCTTAAAAGAAGAATTTTAATTGAAGAAAAAAGTAAAAGAATCACCTCTGTAAAATCAGGATGGTAAATACCTTACAGGATAATCAGATTCAAAACACAGAGAATCCCTCCAGGCAAAACCTTAAGTTACAAAAAGACACAAAAACAGGAATCTACATTCCATTCAGCACAGCTTATTTTATCAGCCATTTAAACAAATCAGAATCTAACGCATATCTTGCTAGATTACTTACTAAGTTCTAAGACTCCATTCCTGTTCTGTTCCCGGCAAAACCATCACACATACAGAGAGAACCTTTGTTTCTCCCCCGCTCCAGCTTTTGAAAGTATCTTGTCTCCTCATTGGTCATTTTGGTCAGGTGCCAGCGAGGTTATCCTAGCTTCTTAACCCTTTACAGGTGAAAGGGTTTTTCCTCTGCCCAGGAGGGATTTCAAAGATGTTTACCCTTCCCTTTATATTTATGACACGCCCCCCGCCCCAAATCACAGATAGGGTGAAACGCTGGCTGTGATTTCTTCCTGGAGCTCTAGGACAAAACAGAGTTAATAAGACATATGCTCCTCTAAATATACTACCAAGCATATAAAGACTAACAATATTTTCCACATCTTAAGGACGATTTTAACCAGTTGATTCTGGGAAACTTTCATGGGAGAGTGCATCAGCCACTTTGTTAGAAGCTCCTGAGATGTGTTGGATGTCGAAATCAAAATCTTGGAGAGCTAAACTCCACCAAATCAGTTTTTTATTATTTCCCATGATGATATGAAGCCACTGTAGCGCAGCATGGTCGGTTTGCAGGTGGAAACGCCGTCCCCAAACATATGGGCATAGCTTTTCCAGAGCGTAGACAATTGTGTAACATTCTTTTTCACTGACTGACCAGTTGCTTTCCCTCTCAGACAGCTTCTTGCTGAGAAACACGACAGGGTGGAATTCTTGATCCGGTCCTTCCTGCATTAAAACTGCTCCCACACCATGCTCGGCGCATCTGTGGTTACTAGGAACGGTTTGTCAAAGTCTGGGGCCCTTAGTACAGGGTCAGACATGAGTGTCGCTTTAAGCTGGTAAAAGGCCTTCTGACACTCTTCAGTCCACTGAATGGCATTTGGCTGTTTCTTTTTGGTTAGGTCTGTCAGTGGGGCGGTGATTTGGCTGTATCGCAGTACAAATCGCCTGTAATATCCAGCCAAGCCAAAGAAGGATTGGACCTGTTTCTTTGACTTTGGGAGAGGCCACTTTTGGATAGCATCCACTTTGGCCTGTAGGGGGTTGATAGTTCCATGACCCACCTGGTGTCCAAGTCACTCGGTTTAGGCCTATGTGACACTTCTTAGCCTTAACAGTCCTGCCTCCCTTATGCGCTCAAAGACTTTTGTAGATGTTCCAGGTGTTCTGCCCAGGAAATGGAACTTCAATGATGGGGAGTGGCTGGAGAGGGGCTTTGACCTGGTCTTGGGATTTTCCCACTCTTTGGCACACCTCACAAGACCGGACATAGGTAGAGACATCCTTGTCCATTCCCTCCCAGTGGAATGACCTCCCCAAATGGTCTTTGGTCCTGTTCACCCCAGTATGGCCACTAGGATGATCATGGGCTAAGTTCAAGAGATTTACCCAGTACTTAGTTGGAACTACCAACTGTCTCTGATGATGCCAGTCTTCCTGGTGTCCACCAGAAAGAGTTTCCTTGTATAAAAGTCCTCTTTCTACAACAAACCTGGATCGACTAGAAGAGCTGAAAGGCGGGGGGTTGCTCCGGGCCGCCGTCAAAGCTCTCTGGAGGCTTTCATCTGCTTTCTGTTCAGTCTGGAACTGTTCCCTTGATGCTGGAGACATCAGTTCCTCATTGGATTGTGGATCTAGGCTTGTTCCCTCTGGAAGCGATGTAGGGGATGGGGCTGTTTCCGTTGACTGTGAACCGCTCTCCGCTGGTGCACTATGTTGGGGTTCAGGCTCTGGCTGAGCCTCTGGTGTAGGGTTATTGGCTGCTGTTGGTTCAGGTTTGCTGGGGCCCTCTGGTGTTGGGGTTGCAAGTACTGGATTTAGTGCTGGCAATGGGTCGGGTGCTTGTTGTTCCACTGGTTCTGGTTCTGGGACTGGCTCTGTCTGGGTCTCTGGGACTGGATCCACTACTGCTGTTGCAGACATTGGCCTGGGGTCTGGGTCCATCACCTCTGACCGGGTCCTGGTAGAAGTTTCCAGAACAGAGCTAGACAGGACGGTTTGCTTAGCCTGGCTGCAGTTGACCATTCCCACCCTCTTGGCTAGCTTCACATGATTGGCCAAGTCTTCCCCCAACAGCATGGGGATGACCCTTGGATCTTAAGAACAATGAAAAAGCAATCAGGTTCTTAGAAGAAGAATTTTAATAGAAGAAAAAGTAAAAGAATCACCTCTGTAAAATCAGGATGGTAAATACCTTACAGGGTAATCAGATTCAAAACATAGAGAATCCCTCTAGGCAAAACCTTAAGTTACAAAAAGACACAGAAACAGGAATCTACATTCCATTCAGCACAGCTATTTTATCAGCCATTTAAACAAAACAGAATCTAATGCATATCTAGCTAGATTACTTACTAAGTTCTAAGACTCCATTCCTGTACTGTTTCCAGCAAAAGCATCACACAGATAGAGAGAACCTTTGTTTCTCCCCACTCCCTCCAGCTTTGAAAGTATCTTGTCTCCTCATTGGTCGTTTTGGTCAGGTGCCAGCGAGGTTATCCTAGCTTCTTAACCCTTTACAGGTGAAAGGGTTTTTCCTCTGGCCAGGAGGGATTTTAAAGGTGTTTACCCTTCCCTTTATATTTATGACAGGGGTAGAATTGTAAAATAAATTGTTTATACATGGGAGGTGTGCAAAAAGTGAGGGCGTCTTTTCTGCAGCTGTTTAGATGAGCATCATACTACTTTCCATGACATGGGAAGATGAAAAGTAAAACCTGACCCAACGCTAAGGGTGTCTTCCCATAATCTAGCGGAGATAACCTATACATAAAAGTGTTATGATGCAGTGGTTGCCACATATTTTTTCAAAACAATTCTCCCTAACATCCTCCCAAAAATAATTAAATTCTCCTGAGATTTCACATGCCATATCTCATCTAAGAATAGACTTTTGGGGAGAAGTTTTGAAGGCACCAGAAAAGTAGTTGTAAAGCGTTTTTTGAGGGGTGGGGCTTATTTTGTTTTTAATCCTCCTCTTGTTCACTTATTATGCATTATGTATTTAATCCTCCTCATAGTTCAGAAAATGGCTTGGCCTATCAACACCAAATGTTTGTTTGTTCCTCTTCTTGGGGACAGGAAGTGGGGGTAGGGAGCTCAGGACTTGTCTACACTACAAGGGAGATTTGATCTAAGCTATGCAATTTGAGTTACATGAATAGTGTAACTCAAATTGATGTAGCTTAGATCTACTCACTGTGAGCTCCACACTATGTGATGTTGACAGGAGACACTCTCCTGTCGACTCCCCCTACTCTTCTAGATCCGGTGCAGTACAGGAGTCAAAGGGAGAGCAATCGGTGGTCGATTTAGTGGGTCTTCACTAGACCATCTAAATCAACTGCCGATGCATTGATCACTGCTCGTTGATCCCCCAGTAAGTGTAGACAAGTCCTCAATTTCTGAAAGGAGTGATATAATGGAGTAGAGAAGGTGAAGAGGGGAGGTACAGGAGATTAAGGGAAGCATAGAGAATGACAGAGAAAGCTAGTCACTTATCCATCTTTAAACTTCTAAATACATTACTAAATTATTAAAATATTCAGTGGATAAATTCATGCCCTTACTACCTGTGTCCACCTAATCAGTCCCCTCTTATAGTCTTGCAGGAGAAGAAACAGAGCATAGCTTCCTTCCTGTGGACTTTCTCCACCACTCAAATTTCAACTTTTGATGCTTTGTTTAAAAAAAAACAAAACAAAAAAAACCAGCAGGGAAATTCCCAAACAAAGCATTTGGTTAAGAGAGTTACGGTTAAAAGTATGTTTCTGTGGAATCCTGCTAATATGTAAAATATTACTTACCTTTAAAAAATATAGATTTTTTTTAATAAATTAAATGAACTTAAAAAATTTGCAAGTTTTATGTAAATAGCAAAATAACATCTGAGTAGGAGATTATAATTTCCTATATAACACTGATATATACTATATATCATTCACTCCCAAAATATGACACTTTAGGTACACAACAGCTAAAAGTTCCCACTTACAGTGTTAACATGCTTACATGCAATGTGTTTCATCATACAGAACAGATCAGTCATTCCAATTCTATTCATAAAAGTATTCTACTCCATCATCACATCACACTGTGAGAATTTAGATTGACTTAACAGACCCTTTTTATTATTTACTATTTCTATTACTATAGTACTTAGGAGCCTTTGTCATGGACCAGGACTCCAACACACTGTATTTCTTTTGAAATCTATACTACACACTTAATAATGAATATATAAAGTCAATAGTACATATCAAGCAGCACATATGTATTCCAGAATAAATCAAAGGATAGTATTAAAATTGGGGAGGCATTGTAAGTCAGAGAGGGTGAAAATAAATGAAAAAGGATCATATAATACTGGTAAACTGAACTCCATAATTGTTCATTTCCAGTTTGTTGAATTTTGTAAAGAAATGTTAGCATTTCTTTTGAGTGATCACTGGACTCTTGTGGAACACACTTTCAGTGTTAACAAAGTATAGTTTAAAAAATAGTTATCTGGGAAAACTTATTGAGTCAGATTTTTCAGGAGATGGGCACAAGCAAACAATTATATGCATTTTAACATTGCAAAATGTAAATGTATACATCTAGGAACAAAGAATGTACTTACAGGATGGAGGACTCTATCCAGGGAAGCAGTGATTCTGAAAAATATTTGGGGGTCATGGTGCATAATCAGATGAACGTGAGCTTCCAGTGCAAAGCTGTGGCGACAAGGGCTAATGTGATTCTTGGATGCATAATTAGGGGAATCTTGAGCAGGTATTGAGAGATTATTTTACCTCTGTATTTGGCCCAGGTGTGACCACTGCTGGAATACTGTGACCAGTTCTGGTGTCGATAATCTGGGGAGGGATTCAGAGAAGAGCCATGAGAATGATTAAAGGATTAGAAAACATGCCTTCTCGAAATAGACTCAAGGAGCTCAATCTATTTATTTTAACAAAGAGATTACACTTCATTACAATCTATAAGCACCTACAGGAGGAACAAATATTTAATAATGGCCTCTTCAGTGTAGCAGAGAAAGGTATAACATGATCCAATGGCTGGAAATTGAAGCTAGACAAATTTAGATTGGAAATAAGGTGTACCTTTTTAACAGTGAGAGTAATTAACCATTGGAACAATTTGCGAAGGATAGCTGTGGATTCTCCATCATTGAGAATTTTTAAATCAAATTAGATGTTTTTCTAAAAGACGTATTCTAGGAATTATTATGGGAAGTTTCTATGGCATGTGTTATACAGGAAGTCAAACTAGGTGATCACAGTGGTCCCTTCTGGCCGTGGAATCTATGAATTTGCAAAAATACTCAGCAACCAGTCACTCCCATTAAGCATGCTTCTTGTAAGTGCCTAAATGACAGTAGAACTCTCTCTGACTTTGAAGCTACCCGTGTTTCCATATGAAAACACTTGGTTGAAAAAAGAGTTCCGCTGAAAGTGTGTTTTGGTGGGAGCTGAGTTCTGTTGAAACTTTGGCCCTGAATGTGTTCATTTAAACCTGTGCAGAGTGTGAATACCTGATATTTGATATTATGTCTGGGTCTGATGCAGAATAGCAAATACAGATGTTCCAGCAAGTATTCTGAGTAGCAGAATGCAGCCGCAGGTTAAGATTGCCTTCTGTAGGTCCCATAGTGGGAGCTTGTTGCTGCTGCTACTACACTTCACTACTTGTTTTAAACGGAAGACTGCGTAGCCTAGCAAATAAAGTGCACCTTAAATTACAAAGGTAGTTTATTCACATTCATGGTAATGGAGGAAATTAGTTTTCTTTTTCTTCCTCTTTTTTTCCATGTTTATACTTAAAACTAAATTGAACAAAAGAAGAGAAAATCAAAGGTAACAAAGTAGGGGATGGCCTCGGTGGTTTTAAGGCTATGTCTACACTGGGAGCTGGGGGTGTCATTCCCAGCTTGAGTAGACATGCTTGCGCTAGCTCTCATCAAACTAGTGTACTAAAAATAATAGTATCGCCATGGTGGCACGGGCAGCGGTGAGTCAGGAGTGGGTGGGTGCAATGTGGCCTGCCATGTGCAGGGGGTCAGACAAGATCGTCATGATGGTCCCTTCTGACCTTAAAGTCTATGAGTGGCCCTCCCAAGTACAAACCTGCCCAGACCCGTGGGGACCTGGTCGGGGTGGCTAGCCTGTGCCGCTGCTGCCTGTGGTACCACGGCTGCACTATTTTTAGTGTGCTAGTTAGAATCATAGAATCATAGAATATCAGGATTGGAAGGGACCTCAGGAGGTCATCTAGTCCAACCCCCTGCTCAAAGCAGGACCAATCCCCAATTTTTGACCCAAATGGCCCCCTCAAGGATTGAACCCACAACCCTGGGTTTAGCAGGCCAATGCTCAAACCACTGAGCTCATTGAGAACAGGTGCAAGTTATGTCTTCTGGAGCTGGGAATCGCATCCTCAGCTCCAAGTGTAGACATAGCCTCAAAAGGGTCTTTTTTGGCCTCTAACTTGTATTATTCCAAGAATGACTACGGTCTGCAGTTGGGTCAAATTCTGATCCCAGTTACTGTTATAAATTCAAACTCAACTGAGTTGTGCTTGCTTTAAACACCGAACTGAGATCAGCATATGGCCCAAGATCTCTGTGCTGTAGAAAGTTGAATGAAAATACTTTAGGAGAAGAATTAGTATCCTGCTGATAGTCTTCGGCAGTCAAGTAAACACTAATAAAATTCCAAATTTAGCCTCACTTTTCATCCCTGTGTGGATACCACTGGCTGATGAGAAAGCACTGTGGAAATGAATAATAAGCAGGAACTGCCAAAATTTGTCTTCACTCGAATGGCGCCATGGTCCAACTTAGACAGCTTCAGTAGTGGGAGACAAATGAGTGGTGATTATCATTTATTCTGTCGGAAACAAAGGTGGTATGAATGGCTCTGTCCAAAATAATAATCAGGATATTGGACCTGAGCCAGAGCAAAGAAAAGAGCAACACATGGTGTTTATGGATTTAAATACTTATGTTGCTTCTGTAAGAGAGAGAGGCTGATGTGCAGGGAAGGGAGTGAGAAGATGTGCATAATACCATCATTTGAGATGACAAAATACTGCAAGAGCAGCTTTAAGACTATATGTATCTTTAAATCATAAGCAGTAATAAATTGGTGTCTCTGTATTTTATTTTCAAATATACAAGTGGAACTCCAGCCTTTTTTCCATTTGAGCAGTCTGAAGCCTCTATTTATTCCCTCACTGACTCTGGTAAAGGTGTCTGCTACAGGTGATCTGCTCTTATCACTTTGCCTAGGCAATGGTTACAGCACAGAGAATTATTTAATCTGTAAAGGAGAATATTAAATGATTTAATCCATGCCTTATTTTGGTCATTTTTCTCCTGACTCAATTCTAACTTACATCCTCTCCATTGGTAGCCATACTGGTACTGCAGCTGGATAGGCAAGAAACCTTTGATTCTACAGCACAAGTGCCTGTTGACAGGGTGGTAGCCTTTTCTTCCCACATTTGCACGCAAAGAATGAAAAGCATCATCTTTCAAATGCTTTCAGGTTCCGCTGGATCGATGAAAGTAATTGTGTCAAATTCCAGCCCTATGAAGGGAGATACAGACCCACTGGTATCAGAGTAGTTGCACTAGATTCCACTAGGGCTTATCTGGGCATATGAGATTTTTTTATCATTCAAATTATATATAATATGTTATATATGTGTATATATATTTAAAAAACCACTGTTTTTATATTGGGCAAGCTAGTTCTACTCCATATGTCTTTATTGGGGAAGGGGGCAGGAAGTCATTCTGTGCCCACATCCTAATGTGCAAAGGGGTTTCAGCACCTTGAATCTGCCCTAAGATTCATGGGACTTCAGAACGCTGTCAGAGGCCATTTGCACAGAGGCTATATCCCACATTGCCCTCCATGACTTCCCCACCATCAACAGGGCTCTTGTGTAGCTCCCTCGATGTGCTGCTGTCCCAGGCAGGGCTCAGAGTGAAAGTGATTCAGCCTGAGGCAGGGATGCCGAGCTCTCCTATCCTGTTCATCAAGTCAAGGAGCTGCTCTGCATATGGAAGGCAATCTTCTCTGGAGCCGAGGAGCCGTGATGCAAAAGTGATTAAGTCCCCTTCTCACATGGAGAGGGGATGATCCTTCTCAAGCACGGAGCTCTGGGTGATTATTTAGCTACATAGTTTTGAATTTCTTTTTGGCTCTGCTCTTTCCTGAAGAATGCCATTTTCATAGAGCTAATACTTGCCTTACATAGAGCTGCATAAATTGACTCAGTTAAACATTTGAGCAACTGGAAGAGAGGCAGGTTGAGGCGATCACTTTATATCAAACTGGACAACCATTTGGGCTGCCTGAGGCGGAACATCACGTAAAAGGGTGCTTTTTTTCTCAACATCTTGTGCTTGTTGGTGCTGATTATTGGGGCTTCTTTGTACCTCTGGGTTTGCTATGTGGTCTTGCTGCAGGAATTGTTATCTCCTTTATTAACTTCTCCCAGGTCAAACTTCCTCATCTTTGACCTTTACAAAGAAACAACTACAGCATTTTACAGTAATGGTACTAAACAGTGCATTTTACAAAGTGCTATTGCAATGCTCTGGGCAATTACTGTAGAATAAAAGGGAAGTATGTCTTTGAACATTGCCTATGCCACTGACTTGCAGATCTATCTTTACACTTCTGATCTGTTTCTTTATGTTACATCCTGCATCTTAGCTTGTCCCTTTTACATCTGCTTCTTGGGGTCTTACCCTCCTCTTCCCCTTAATGTGACCAAAGCTTCTCATTTTCACCTCCCCCCCTTTGCATCACTGACAACTCCATCATCCTTTCCATCTTTGAAGTCTGTAACCTAAATATTCAACCTCTCCCTCTTTGACCATGCATCCATTTTGTGTCCCAGTCTTCCTCCTACTTCCTCATAACATTTTTAAGATCCATCTTTTTCTCTTCAGCCAGCCAGCCAAATAAAATGCAGCTGCCAAGTTCATCATCCTTGCCTGTTGCTCTAACCACATTTTGAATCCCTTCCCTGCACCAAGTTCAAGTTTTTTGTTCCCAGCTTCACGGTCATTCACAATTCTGCCCATCCCTAGGTGTCTGCCTCTTATCACATTTCTCAACGAATAGTCTGCTGTGCCTTTTTCTGTGATGCCCCTTATATGTGGAACATGCTGCCTGAACTGATCTGTAAGGAAATGACTCACCTCTAGTTTTATGCTTGTAAGAAATGAACCAGTTAACACTGGCTTGAAGGGCAGATGGGGTTAGATGATATTTGGCTATTTATAATAATTTTAAATCCATGCAAATGAATATCAAAAATGTGTGTATCTTCTTCTCCACCCTTCATGTACCACTTGTATTTTTTTAATAACGTACTGTATTGTTGCTATGTTTCTACAACATCCAGGATAATGCGGACCTGATCTCAAATGAAGAGACAGGGTGGGATGGGAAATGGAGTCAGAGATAGGTGAAGTGACTTCCCCAAGGTCATGCAGCATGTCAGTGGCAGAGCTGGGAATAGACCGGTGACTCCTGACTCACAATCTAGTGCCTTAGAGAAAGAGAAGGTGGGTGAGATCCGATCTTTTATTGGACCAACTGCTGTTGTTGGCAGAGAAGAGTTCCAGACATACAGAGCTCTTCTTCAGGTCTGATCTGATCTATTGCCCTATCCACTATACCATGCTGCTTACAAATATTTAAAAAAACAACTTACCAGTGATATCAAGAAATCATCATATACTACATGTCTCTGTTTATATATTTTTTGCAAAGGAACAGTATGTTCACTTTTGAGTAACAAGAGACATTTTCTGAAATGTTGTATGCC